CCCCAGTCAGAAGCAATTAAAAATAACAGCAGAAAATAGCAAAATAAACTCATGGGACAAAAACAAAACCCGAGCGACACCTTGGAAAACATTCATATGAGAAAGCAGACGAGTCCTATAAGCCCCGCTCTCCAGGTGAATGAAAATGTATTACAACATCAAAAGCCAGCCAGCATCTGCATGACAGGAAACCTAAGACCCGGTCAAGACTCTCTGGCAAGTGCAACGGAATGGATACTTACTGCTCTCACGGAGAATAGAGAGGAGATAAGAAGTGCTCAAAGATGCTACGCTATTAAACTGTGTCTTACGAATGCATGGAGAAACGAGAAACACCGAGAAGATTCGAGACAGATGCAAGAGCAGCCCCATTGCAGAAGAAAGAGCACCAGCATGGCAGGAGGGAAACTTGCCTGGGAAGCACACATCCCAGCCCAGGATAGATCTAGTGACAGTTGAGGGACAGGATGGGGACCTTCCACCAGCCCACAGTCCCCGAGTTCTTTCTGACTTAGAAAGCCACTGAAAGGTGACACTAAGAATGGGGTCAGTGCTGTGGAGCAGGGACCAGGCTTAGGGGAAAGCTAGACAAAATTAAGAAAAGTGGAGTGATGACCCTAAGTACAGAATCGGGATGCCCTCACTGAAGTTTCACTTCAGAGCAAGGGGCACTACTGATAAGATTCAGAGATGGATGGTTTGCCGACAGAGACCCATGCCTGAGAAGTTCCACTTCTAGAAAATCATGCAAATGTGACAACGGTTGAAACTACATAGATGTCAAAGTTCATGGAGAACAGAAGAAAGAAAAAGAAATTCCAGTGGGAAGTTAGATGACAGGAATCCAAGAGAGATGTAATTTTATTAAAAACCCAAACCCAAACCAATGTATGTTACTGACTGAACTCGGAGAAAGTCTATTCTTAGGACTCTCTTCCGAGACCCGGACACTCACTTTTGGGCTAGCTGCTGAATGGGTGGCCTGGACCCACCAACAGTCACTCCTCTTTTATATAGTGTTTGACCCTGTATCATAAAAGCATGGTAAGCAGTGACAAGCTGCTTAGAAATAGGAGGATTCTAAATGGGTAGAAGGGTGGGCATACTCGGGAAGATTATTAACTGACAAAAAGAAACAAAGCATTGTAAAGTTCACTATGTTAAATGTATACATTTTCACAAAAGCAAAACTAACTGACGCACTTGCCTGAGAGTCTTGACCGGGTCTTAGGTTTCTTGTCATCTGGATTCTGGCTGGTTTACAGTCCCCCTTTGATGTTGTAATACTTTTCATTTACCTGGAGTGCGGGGCTTAGACGACTCGTCTGCTTTCTCATATGAATGCTTTCCAAGATGTTGCTCGGGTTTTGTTTTCCCCTCGAGTTTATTTAGCTGTTTTCTGCTGTTATATTTCATTGTTTCTGACTGGGGTGGGGGTGGGGGGCCGCGGTGTCGGAGAGTAAGCTGTGGTTTGGATTTGGCTCCCTTTGCTGTTTCCCACATTCCCTCAGAAGTCCCACACGCACACTCCCTGGCTCCCGTCTCTGACATTTCCCTTTTAGAAGGCGATGATCCCTGGCTTGAGCGATGCTGAGAGGAAGATGCAGCTCTGGACTCCAGTCCTGTGCAGTCATGAGTCAGAGTTCACAGGAGTGGGGCGAGGGTGCAGTGACAAGGTAAGAAGATAGTATTTTGGGAGAAAAAGCACGTCATGAAGCCATTACGTCCGCAGTTCTCCAGCACTTTGATCTCGGGATATCTTTACCCTTCTGAAAACTACTGACGACCTTGAAGAACTTTCGTGTATGTTGACAAAGCATTATCGTGTTCATAATACTTCAATACTCACGTCTGAATGCATTGATAATGATGTTCGTGTGCTAGAAAGGAGACAGAACAATTTAAATGCAAGGACACATAAGCCCACAGGTCATCAGCAATCAAACTGATGCTGTCATCCATGCCCTGTGACCTCTAGAAACTGGGTGAGGGAATGTGCAGTCATAGGACAAACCATGTCTTAATAAGGAAAAAGGGTTTGACCTTTCCAACTCCCAAGGGAGGACCCATGGGAAGCACATCTTGACTGCAATGTGGGATAGAAACCCAATGCCCTGCCTGCCCCAAGTTCACGTGCCTGACTCCTACATTGGCTCACGAGCTTCGGAGGGACATGGACCCTGTCGTTTTCACCCTTGTTCGCCATTTCCCTATAGCCGTGCCTCCACATCACCTTTCAACAAGCTTTCATGTTCTAAGGCTTCCAAGGTGGTGCGGTAATGAGAAGATTGCGGCTTTCTTGGGCACCAGTGGTCATTAAGTCAATTAAGTGGCATGGTGCTCCGTGGGAGTTTCAATGGCTGATATCTGGGCAGTAGCTCAAAAGGACATTCTTCCTAGGCACCTAGGGGTGGCTTCCAACCTCCAGCCTTCCAGTTAGCACGTGAGCCCCTTAACCCTTTGCAAAACCCAGGTAACTCGATTCCATACAGAGAAATCCCCTGGGATTCAGTATAGGGGTGCAGACAGGTCTCCATCCAATTCCAGTTGTTCTTGCCGCAGTAAGAAATAAAGATGAGAGGGCTCAAAACGTTTGTGGAAAAATGACATAGAAAGATAATGAGATTTTTCACGGGCCTTTTGAGGGCCCCCTGCCCAGTAAAGACAAAAAGAAATCGGACTGTTTCACCTCGCACTTGCTTCAACCCAACTTTGCCTGCAATTACGGCTCTTTCACTGCCATAGCAACGGGGCTAGCTGTTCACTTGACTTCACGGGCCCTCCGTTGTAATGAATAGTCCATCTACATTTAGAGCCTGCTTTCAGAGACTATCCCAGAAGAGAGGAGATGCAACCTGGCAGTTTTCAAACACCCACAGCAAGGGCTCCTCAGAGACCAGCCAGGAATTCTTCCCCAGACGTGACAGTGTCGGCTTCAATCAGTGGAGCCAGGAAAAGCAACGTTGTGGGATCCCAGCGATGAATGGAGAAAGGACTCAGGGAATGGCCAGTTCTAGGACTGCTGCACAGCTGTTGTTCTGACCCAGGGGACCCTAGAGGGTGGAGTAAGGCTGGGCCCTAGGAGCGGACAGCCTCGTCTTGCTCCCAAGGACTCCTCTGACCTTGCAGGAAGCAGCTGCGTGCTTCTCCCTGTGCCCCGCTGAGGGCACCTGGGAGGGCTCACGCTGTGCCTGCCCGCTGAGTCTGACTCGTAGGGCTTCCAGGCTGCACATCTTTACAAGAGAGCCAGCCTCGTCCTTCTCTCTCGGAGCGGCTGGCGGGTTTGAAGTGCCATCAACACTTCACCGCTGGGCTACCAGACTCCATGGAGGGCTTCAAGAGAAGCACCCAAAGGGGGATTGCCTGTGCATTTGGCCTAAAACATTGATCACGATAAAAGTACCTGTTGTTTCAGGAAGAGCAACTGTTTTCTTATTTTTGTCTCCCCGCCTGCCCCCCCTCCCACTGAGTGTTTGGCAGTTTTGTTAAGAATATCATGCGAAGAGAGAGGCCCCTTACTTTTATTTTTTAAGTATCCTCTTTCTTGCTTTTGAAAACTAGCTCTGTCTGCAGGAGGAAGGGGCAGACCCCAAAGTACAAGGTGAGATGAATACCCTCTGTTGAGAGCGGTTGGCTTTTCCTGCCTCTTTCCTGGGAAAACAACACCATATGAAAACCGGAAAGGATTTTTAACATTGTCTGAAAATGCCTTACATTCTCTCTGCTTCTCCCTCCCTCCCTGCCCCCCCTCCCCCGCCCCCCCTGGCGCTCTCCCACACTCAGTTCCTCAGGTCTGCTCTGAGGGACTTGATAGTCAGCACCATGCCTGCCCAAACCGGTTCCCAACCACAGGAAACACTACATTTTCTATCATTTTTACCCCGGAATATGGGCTCCCTTCCCCCCCGCCTCCTGTTCTCCCCACTCTTTTGTGAGCCTCTGGGGTCCTTCTTGCCAGACCTGACTTCATCACACAGAGTCACATGGAGAAAAGGACCTCTGTGTTCGTCTGGGTAAACTAGGGAAGCTCATATGTATGAGAGAGAGTTTTATATCAAGGGTAAGCGGACATTAAGAAAGCAGCCCAACCCAGTGCTGTCCAATCCCCTAAGTCCAACATTAGCCCATATATCCAACATTGATCTACAAAGTCCTCCTCCATCTCACAAAACACATGCAATGATGGTGACTGCAGGAGGAAAGTCGAATCAGTGAGTAGGTAAGCATCTCAGCACTAGCAGGGGTCTCCATGCAGCTGCTCCAGCACCCAGGGCTGCATCGGGGTAGGTCCATGTGGCTTCTCCTCAGGGATGTCTTGCAGGAAGTGAGCCTTGCCAGCTGAAGCAGGGAACTGGCTAAGGTAGTTGCACCCTGGTCCGACCATCAGAAAGCAAGAGACCCGAGAACTAGAAAAGTGAGGCTCACTGAGCCATTTATCTCTCTGTCCTTCAATTAATCCCACATGTGTTTATTGGCCAGGTTGGCACAATAAATCTTGACTATCTCAACCTCCAATGGAAA